TAACACTTCTCACTACTTGCTTAAAATTGTTTTGGCATTTGTTTGCTTCTGCTAAACAGCCTAGCTTTTTGTTGTTGTTCCATGTCTTGTTGGTTATTGTAAAAACTCTTCTCTGTGTCTGCTCAGGTTTGAGTTCAGGTGGTTTGTACACAGCAGACTTAAGGCTGTACAAGTTTTTTGGTGAGATCTCTCTAGATTCATATATTAATGTACTTCATTTTCCCGTCTCGGATTAAAAAATACTTGGCCAAATACGGTCTTGGATCACATTGTCATTGTACGTGACCTCCATCACAGTAGTGGCTCAGTCTCTCTCGTGATTGATTAAACACACAGGTTTTAATCTGTAGCCACCTCCATCTTAGTAATCTCCATTTAGGAATGTTTGCTTGTCCCCCTAAGTGTGGAGCCCTCCCACCCCCTTGGGGGGAGAAAAAGTCCATAAGGTTTCATTTCTGTCTTTAATCGTTATAAGCTTGTTAACAGTCAGTGTAGCCTGGTCTTCCCCTACAGCTGAAGAGCGAAGACTCTTTAAACCTTTATGATTTGGGCCAGGTATTTCTGTTAATATTATTATTGTACAGTACCTCCTTTTGACCATATGCCCAGCTCTAACATTGTGAAGTTTCCTTTGTATAATCTTGAAGTGTGTTCAATCTATTCCACAAAACTAAACCACTTAGCTTATCTGTTTTCTTCTCTCATTTCCAGTTTCTCATCTGTTAGTTCCAGAGACTGCTTTATTCTAAGAGGAGAGATATATTTGCAGTAGTCTGTGCAACAAGGCTTCCCTTTTTTTTTTCCTTGTAATTGGCTTCTTACTGCTGTTCACATTTCTTTCCTGTTCGATTACAGGCTCAGTTCCAGAGATAATTCCCCTAAAACTATTCTTTCTCTTCCAGACTGGAACGCCAGGTTTTGTAATATGTGAATACAATTTTCAAGAATGTCCTCAAAAACATACCCAGTAGAATATATTAAATTCAGTCCCTTGTACGTTGTGCATTAATGCTGTATATAAATGTGGCAAATTTCGTTGATTCTGACTCCAAGTAGTGTATCCTTCATCTTATTGTGGTGTCCCTCATCTTTTCTTGCGGTCTTTTTAAAAACACATCTCAAAATTGTATATGCTTGTTTAGAAACATCAGTCTTACAAAAAGTAGAAAAGTGTTCCCAGATTGGTCTCTTGAAAGACCACATGAATCTGTACAGATCCTCCATCACTTATATTGACTGGAAAACAACAGCATCAAATAACCATATATATGTATTTGGCTATGCTACAGGTATGGTGAGAGCAAGTCTTATTCCATTTTGTAACTCCGATAGGTTAGATATGTCTCTGGTAGTAGGTATTCTTCCTTGAATTTTCTTTATTGTTAATATCTTGTTAAGAGGTAGTTATTCCTACCAGATGGACTGATCTCTGAAGCTGCATGGTGCCAAAGGCATCAGGTTAAGGAGAGTTTTGAATAGGGGAGAAAAACTGCTCTGTAGCATCAGGCAAGACCAGCCTCCTGTGGTTAAGCCAATGCTCATGGATATCTTTTTTTTTTTTTTTTTTGGTAATTGCAGCAATAAAACCCTGAGGAAAGAGCATCTTCTATCATCTGAAAAATGTTTTGGTAGCTCAGCTCTGAAACTCTTAACTGCAAAGCAGAATGCTTCTCTGGAGTGTGTAAAGCTGCTGAGTGTGGCAGGATAGATATTCCTCAGAGCCTAATTTCCTTTTTCATTGATACACAGGGCAAACTTGTTCAAAAAGTTTTGGGCTGCAGGCAGATTTTTTTTTTCTTCAGGCTACAATATACTTAGGATTCCAAATAGTTCAGACTAAATCAGTGAGTTTTTTTCATCTGCTCTCTAGCGATACCACCTTCTTCACTCTCCCAAGGAGGGTATACTGCTGGGATACATCGCTTCCTGCTGTCTTCAGAAGCCTTGAAATATATCAGGTTCCAAACAGGGACCTTGTCATGACTAGGTGTCACTGCTGCTCATTTCCATTCTGTCATGATTATTGGGAATTACTAGTTGTCTTAAGAGATGACTTTGCAGGGCTGAGATGCACTGACACAGGTGTGAAAGCTTTGCAGGCAATAATGAACTCTCCCACTCTGCACACAGCTGCTTCTTCCTGTGTCTGCTGAAAACTCCACCCTATAAGATTGGATGCTGCTTTGGTGTTGGCAGCTAAACCACATCTTTGCTCAAGTAAATCTATTACTGCTGCTGATCTACATATTTCTTTCTAAGCAAGAGCGATTTTGTGAAAGAATATTTTCCTCAGTATTCTCACCCTCCAAAGGCAGGCATTGTTTCAGCTTGCTTTCTCAAGCATAGATATTAGAGATGGGAAGAGCTCCATGTGAATGAGAAGGAATGAATGTATCAAAACTTGTCTCGTATTGCTTTCTGAAGCAATGCTAATGTGCATGTGAATATAGTCCTTATATTTTAAAAAGAAAGAGTGAAGTCATTTTTCGTGGGGGTAACTGAACAGATGACTAGAGAAATCAGATTTCAAGATGGGGAGCATAAAATCCACTGTAGCTGCTGAGGAGATAGCTACATAGCTCCTCATAGGTTTGGAGAAAATGTATTTCCATATATAGATTCATCAGTATCTCAATGATAATTTGCTTTGGAAGAACAGCTTCCTCGGTGCAAGTGCTTGAATGTTGATTTGTATACTGGTTTGGCTGTGCTGGAGTTAATTTTCTTCATAACAGCTCCTGTGGTGCTATGTTTTTTTGGATTTGTGCTAGAAAGTGTTGATAACACAGGGATGTTTCTGTTATTGCTGAGCAGTGCTCACACAGAGCCAAGGCCTCTTCTGCTTCTCCCCCCACCCCAGCAAGGAGGCTGGTGGGGCACAAGGAGCTGGGAAGGACACAGCCGGGACAGCTGACCCTGACTGACCCAAGGGATATTCCAGACCATAGGACGTCATGCTCAGCATATAAAGCTGGGGGAAGAAGGAGGAAGGGGGGGACATTCGGAGTGATGGCGTTTGTCTTCCCAAGTAACGGTTACGTGTGGTGGAGCCCTGCTTTCCTGGAGATGGCTGAACACCTGCCCACCCATGGGAAGCGGGGAATGGATTCCTGGTTTTGCTTTGCTTGTGTGCGCAGCTTTTGCTTTGCCTATGAAACTGTCTTCACCTCAATTCAACCCTCAATTCTACCTTTCTGATTCTCTTTCCCGTGCCACGTCGGGGGGAGTAAGTGAGTGTCTGTGTGGGGCTGAGCTGCCTACTGGGATTAAACCACGACATTTAGTAACTGTTCTACTGGAGTTCATTAAAATGCTGCAGTGTTAGTAGCAGTACTCAGGGAAAGGATCCAGGATAAACTTCTTGGACAACTTGCTTTAGATTCAGAGATCTGCAAAGGGCAGTTAACTTTGTCTTATTACACTGCTTATTTCTGTCTACATTCTCTAGTTGTCCTCTGAGGAGACTAATTGCTGATTTTGTCTCTCTAGCTGTAGAATACCCTAGCAAGGGAACCTTATGAAAAGAAAATATACAGTCACTCGTTGATGTCTGTCTTTTTGGGAATGATGGTCTTAACCCATAACTTGCAAAATGGATTGTGCTTACTTGATGGGGACATAGCTGGCAGCTTGTCATGCGTTTTTTCATGTCAGTGAATGATGGATAACTACAGAAAAACTAAAATTTGGACTTCATAAGCAAAGCTCTCTGCACAAGTATCTCTTCAGGCTTACATCTTGTCATAGGCCTTTCATAAGGTCAGAGATTATTCAAGAGACTGGGCACAAGCAAAGAGTAAGTGATCACATATAAACTAGCAAGAGCTCAAAAAAAGTGTAACAGGACTTTCTCCCCCATAGTTAGTCATTTACATGACAACTGGAGCATATTGCCAAGGTACTTGTGGAGATAAAGCTTGTCTATCAGGGACTAGTGGTTCAAGGATTTCCTAGCTTGATTAAGGTGATTTTTTTCAGTTGCGAAGGAAAGTAATTTATTGAAGAGAGTTGTGTGATGATAGTATGATCTTCTGTTAAGCTGCAGTAGGAGCCATTCTTCTTATAACAGTGTAAGTCCTTTTCTCTTGGCAGAATTTTGTTAAGAATCTGCACCAGCTTGCTTGTATAGTGTCCATACACTGTATGTTAAATTTAAAATTGGAGTTAAGATAACATGTTTTTCTCCAAAACTCTTTTGCCACCTCCTCCCATCCCACAATACCTGCTTGACCACGTAGAATTCATGAAACTGGGGATGTTGTTTTGCAATAGATAAAAACTTTCATAGTATTACTTTATATTTTAATATAATAAGTAATTTCAAGTGATTGAAATATGCATGCATCCATATAAAGGTGATAGTTTTGTTGATGAGTAGATTATTTGCATATATTTCTTTTCTTTAATCAAATGATGCTTCCATTTGAGTAACTAGTAGCAGATTGCTAGTGTCGTCAGAAAGGGGCCCATAAGAGGAAGAGGCGTATAAGTATACTGCTAATTCTGTAAAAATAATTGGGTTACCATGTGTTTCTGCTGCTGTCTACTTTTAGTTTTTCTGTGTGATTAAATAGTTGTAGCTTGCTGATTTTAATGAGTGATTCAATTGCAGTGCCTCTGTGCCAGAATAGACCTGCATTTTGAGCAGCCTTATAACACTTGTGTAGGAAGATACTTGTTTTAAAAGAAATTTTTTAAAAAGTGTTTAGTCTGTAAATGTACTGTATTAATTTATTGCCAAAATGTAGTCAAATAGAAGACTTTAAATGTAACCTTGCTATTGAACTCTGGGGTGTTTAAGCTGCTTTTCTGACTCAAGTTTAGGACTTTAATATATTATTTTCAGCTTTACTTGTAAGAGGTAGGGACTACTGAAGACAAATGTGCATGGAATATGAGGGAAACTATCTTGTTTTAATTAGTTGTTGGGTTTTTTAAGTCTTAAAATACCTTTAAAACACTGCATTTCTTGTTGTTCAAGAAGTTTTCTTACCCCACAGTGTTCATAGGGAAAGTACTGAAACGACTCTATGCTGAAACTTCATCATCTTCTCTTGTGCACACTTCAAGTAGAGAAGAGGAGGCGGTTCTCAGAAATCTGGGCTCAAAATCCAAAGAAAAGAGTTTGGATGATGTTCAGACTTCATCAGCAGATGTTAGCGCATCAACTGGTACACCCTGCGAATCATTTCAAGGTGAGACTGCATAGTCCTGTTTCTGATAATGTGCTTTCAAATATAGTTACTTTACTTGAAACAGTATAGTACCTATTATTTTTTTTCATCTATTGATACCAACAGGCACATTTGAATGCAAGTGCTAGTGGTACTTAATATGTAGAACACTTGGTCAGCATGTAAGTCCTGTGAAAGCCAAGAAATAGTCTTGGTGTATATGCACGAATGCAGCACTTAGCAATAGCTAATATGAAACTTCAGTGTACGCTATAACTGTCTTTGGTGTAATGTCTGTTGAAGAGTGAGAAAATAACTTACACTGGTACAACTCTGCTCAGCTATTAGAGATACACCAAAAGATTGGTGGGAGTACATGCTCCAGCACTTCCTCCTGCCCTCACGTTGCAACATAAACCCCATGGGGAACGTAAAGCCAACAGAAGGCAAATATCAGTTCAAGCACTGTGTTAGTACCCTGCTAAAGAGTGTTATTTTGTCTGTGTTTATGCAATGAAAGTGGCACGTGAATGTTTTGACAGGTAAGTTAAAACAGGTTGTAAAATGTGGATGCTATGCTAAAAGATGAAGCAGTTGCAAAATGAGGTAGCTGTGTTATTACTTGTGGGTGAAAGCTCTGTGCATAAGTACAGAAGAAGTGTGAACTGCTTTGTGTTTTAGCTCATCTAAAACCAAATTTTGCCCTAACTGAAAGAGGTTGTTAAACTGACTTGAAATAAAAAGGCATGTTTCCTGAGAGTATAAAAAGCTTTCTCTAGGGGATGTGCTCAGCTAGACCTTACAAACAAGGAAGAACTGATTGTGGATATGGTCTGGGCCAGGAGACTAAAGTCCTAAAAGTAGTGAGCAAAATGAGTAGTAGGATTAGATCCCTGTACTACAGAAGAACAGATGTTTGTCTTGTACCAAGCAGATCCCTGAACGATTGAATGAAAGACTGGTCTGAATTGCAAAGGATCTTTGGAGAGCTGATTGATCTTCAAGAATAACCTTCTTAAAGCACAAGAGTGACTCATTTTGACATGCGGAAAACTAGGCAAGTGTAGCAGGTTGCCTGACTGTATTGGGTCTGGCTGAGATGGAGTTAATTCTCCCCATAGCAGCCCTCATAGTGCTGTGTTCTGTATTGGTAGCTAGAAAGGTGTTGGTAACACACCAGTGCTTTGGCTGCTGCTGAGCAGTGCTGGCACAGCATCAAGGCTGTCTCCAACATTTTCCCCCCCTCACTGGCAGGCTGGGGCTGGGCAAGATCTTGGGAGGGGATGTAGCCAGGACAGCTGACCCAAACTGACCAAAGGGATAGTTCATACCATATGATGTCAGCTCAGCTATAAAAGTTAAGTAAAGGGAGATGGAAGGGGGGGCATTTGTTATTTATGTTTGTCTTCCAGAGCAGCTACTATGTGTACTGAAGCCCTGCTTCCCAGGAAGTGGCCAGACATCGCCTGCTGATGGGAAGTAGAAAATAAAATCTTTTGTTTTCCTTTGCTCTCGCGTGCAACCTTTGCTTTATTAAACTGTCCTTATCTTGACCCACGAGCATTTTGTTATATTTTCTCTCCCCTGTCTAGTTGAGGAGGGGGAGTGATAGAGTGGCTTTGGTGGGCACGTGGCATCCAGCCAGGGTCAACCCACCACACTGACTGAGCTCAGATGTGTCAGGGACCAGCAATGGGAGGGTGAGGGAAGGCTAGCTGGGACAAGGTAGGCACAGGAGCTGTGTCATAACTGTGGAAGCAATCCCACAGTACCAGACATGCTCTGCTCTCCTTTTCCAGGTAACCGTAACCAGGTTCAGCCAACAGTCCAGTGACACCAGGCAAGTCAATAGTGACAAGGCAGGTCTGAGGTCAAGCCAATATGTAAAGTCTGTGAGTCAGCGTGTGCATCAAATGGGGTATGTGCCCAGGCACAGGCATGGCTGCAGTCTAGCTTAAAAGCAGCTCCTAAGTGATGTGAGGGGATCCCCTGCTAAGACAGCTTCTTAGAGGTCTTTCATAAGCAGCTCTTTCTTCATAACAATCTGGATCACCACCTGTGTGATATCAGAGAGCTGTCTGTAAGTGCATGCAGCTAAGCTCCTAGGAGGGAGCTCTGGGCCCTTACAAGACAAAAAGGAAATACAGAGAAGGTGAAAGCAAGCATTATCTACCCAAGAGAAATATAGAGATGTTGCCCAGGTATGCTGGGATGGAGTTAGGAAGGCCAAAGCTCAGATGGAATTGAAACTCATGAGATATGTGGGAAGAAACAAGAAGGGTGGGGACAAAAACTGGAAGGCTAAAGAAAATGCAGGCCCACTACTCAATGGGCAAGGGACTAGTGATAGAAGACAAGGAAAAGGCTGAGGTACTTGGTGCCTTTTTTGCCTGTTTTTACTGGTAACATTTGTCCTTAGACCTCCCAGGCCACTGAGCCTAATGATAAAGTCTATGGGAGTGAAGCATTGCCCACAGGAGATGATGATAGCTAGGGAGTAGTTAAGCCAGTTGCACAATTGCATGTCAGTGGGACAAGATGGTGTGCATCCAGGGCTGCTGGCTGATGTCATGAAGAGGCTGGTTTCTATCCTCTTTGAGGATAGAAATCACAATTGGGATGTTCCTCAGTGACTGGAAATGGCAAACATTGTACCCATTTTCAAGAAAGGCAAGAAGGAGGGTCTGGAAAACTGTGGACATGTTACAGAGTAAATGCAGCTTCTGGAAGCTGTTTCCAAGCCTGTGAAGGACAAAAAGGGAATTGGGAACATTAAGTCTTGGTTTACCAAAGACAGGTTGTACAACCCAGTTGCTTGCTATGATGATGTGACTGGCTTGTAGATAGGGAGGGCACAGTGCATGTTCTTTAATTTTTTTTAGCAGGGCCTTCAACATAGTCTGCTGTAGTATTCTTATAGCCAAGAAGGTGAGGTATCAACTGGGTAAGTGAATGGTCAGATAGACTGCCAGGCTCAAAGGATGGTAATCAACAGTACAAAGTTCAATAAATGGCCATGTGCTAGTGGTGTACTTTGGGGATTAATACTGGAGTGCAGAGTCCAGTGTCTGACATGGAATAAGCAACAATACAGGCTGGGAGTACCCTGGCTGGAAGCAGCTCCACAGAAAAGGACCTAGGTGTTCTGGTGGATGCCCAGCTGAACATGAGTCAGAGTTGCATCCTTGCCACAAAGGCAGCAGATGACATACTGTGCTCTACTAGCAACATAGCCAGCAGTTGGAAGGAAGCAATCGTTCCTTTTGTGAGACCACACTGGAGCAGCGTTTGTGAGTCCATAATGGAAGTACTGTGACCAGTGGGCTCCTTAGTAAAAGAAAGGTAGGGACAAAGTAGATTGAGTCCAATGTAGGGCACTGTAATGGCCAGAGAGCCAGATGGCATTATGTATGAGGAGAGACTGAGAGAATTGAGTTTGTTCAGTCATAAGAAAAGAATGTGAAAAGGAAATCTCATTACTTCAACTACCAAATGGGAAGGAGGACTATAGAGAAGACTGAGCCATGCAGTTTTTGGAGGTGCTCAGTAACAGAAGGGACAACAAAGAAGTGGCAAGAGTAATTCCAACTAGATGGGGGAGGACATTCCACCTTGAGGATGATGAAACATTGGGAATGGGCTGCCCAGAGGGAGTTTTGGTATCTATCCTTGGAGGAACTGAAAACTAAACAGTGTACTAGAAAACCTTATCTAATTGGGTCATATTTTAATGGGGTTTGGGCTAATGACCTCCAAAAGTCCTTTCCAACACATACTAGTCTAGAAATCTGTGTTACTGGGGGAGTTGTTTGTTGGGGTTGTGTTTTGTTTTTGTTTTTTTTTAATTAAAAAAAAAAAAGCCCCCCCCCCATCTGTAATACAGATGGCTAGTAACAGGTTGGCTACAGGGCTTTCTTACATGTCTGTGGTAGAATTTGGTTTTGAAGGATTGTGTGGCTGTTGTCCTGTATTGCATCCTGTTACTGTGACAAGATTGGCTGGTAATCTCAACTTGTTGTAGTTTCATTTGTTTGATACCCATTTTGTTTTTCTAGATCAGTATTTCTAGTACTTCTTTTGTGTAGTCAATAATGAGAGGAACATTTTCAAAAGGCTGATAAAGTGTTAAACTTATTCTATAAAATGATATTTGATAGCAATGGGAACTAATTGTCCTTTCAAAATAGGTAACAGGCTATTTATTGGCTCTGTGATGAACATGTGCTAAATAAGCATGACTATGGAGTGATTTCTTAAGCTAAAAATGCCTTCATTTGTAGTGAATCTATACCATTCCTTATAAATCAGGGCCTGGCTAAACTCCCACTAAAGTGGGAGGTGAGGAGGAGAATTTAGTTGACCTTGTGATATATAACTCCTCTGATTGTCTATACCTGGTTCCTAATACAACTTTCTTCAAGTTAATGAAACTAAAGCTTTTGATCCAGAATGCTAGTACAGGTAAAATATAGCCTATGGGAAAGGGAACATGGAGCAAAAAGAACAGGTCCATATTTATGATTTTCACAGCCAAGTAACAAGGCTGTTCCTGAAATTAACAGCAAACTAGCTGACCTTGTTTTCTGTTGGAGGCAAGCAAATGCTATGGTAGTACAGAAAGGGTTCTTCCTTGATGATCTACAAGTGTGTACTTAAAAAAAAAAAAAAGCTCTGAAGAGGGTTGCAGTGATAAACTCAGAGGAAAAAGAGAAATCAGTTGTCCATCTGTGAAACCAACAGGTAACTTAACCATTCTTCCCTGGTTGTGGTTTCATTTAAATTTAAGGAGCTCTTGCATGAATTGTCATTTAAATGTTGTGATTTTATGGTAGTGGACACTGAAAGTACATGTTTAGTGATAGGCTGTAAGATTTGGAGCTATAAAATGTATGGTCTTGGACAAACATAAAGGCATTGACTTAATTTTTTTATCATATACTATTTTAAGTAACTTCTTTTATTGTAGACCAAAGGTTATGGGCATAACAATGAAACAGCTGATCATTTAAGTAGCAGTAGTC